AGCGGGCGAGGCGCCCGCAGCAGCAAGCGCTGCAGCTGCAGCAGCAGCCGCAGCTGCAGCAGCAGCAGAGGGCGCAGACGCAGCGGAGACAGATGCAGCAGCGCCACCAGCAGCAGCAGACAGCGCCAACGCAGAACCGCCCACAACTCCCAGCAGCAGCAGCAGCAGCAGCAGCAGCAGCAAAAAGGGGAGCAAAGTCACGAAGGCGGTGCTGCGGCAGTTCACTATGCGGCGAAGGGGCCCCAGCAGCGCAGCAGCAGCGGAGCTGGAAGCAGCAGAAGCTCCGGGGGCCCCTGCAGCAGCACCAAGTCCCAGGGGCCCCCAAGGCAGGGGGGCCCCCCCTGCAGCAGAACAGCCACAGGGGGGCCCCCCTGTACCCAAAGACCTTCACTATAATGGGCCCCTGACGCAGCACGCGGACTTGTGCATATTTTCTGTCTTTGATGGACACGGAGGAGCCCACGTCTCCAGGTGCTGCTGCTGCTGCTGCTGCTGCTGCTGCTGCTGCTGCTGGTTTTGCGGTTGCCTGTGCTGCTGCCGCTGCTGTCTTTTGTGTTCCATGCCGAAGTCCAACAGCAGCAACAGCTGCTGCTGCAGCCCGGTCCCGCGCTGCGCTGCGCCCCCCCCACAGCAACACCCACCGCTGCTGCTGCTGCTGCTGTTGCTGCTGCTGCAGGTTTGCTGCAGCGAATCTGCGGTCGCTGCTGGAGGCGCAGCCAGCCTTCCACAGGGGGGACTTTGCTGCTGCGCTGCGGCTGGCCTATTTAAGAATAGATGAGTTGCTGCGGAAGGAGAGCAGCCAAGAAGAGCTGCTGTTTTTGACAACTCACACTCCCTACGAGCTGCTGCAGCACCGGCAGCAGCAGCAGCAGGAGCTCGCGCTGCAGCAGCAGCACGAGCACGAAGCTGCAGCAGCAGCAACGCCGCAGCACCACCGCGGCCTCCGCTCCACCCTTTCCAACATTGGGCAGCACTTCAAGTCGCAGCACCACCATCACCAGCAGCAGCAGCAGCAGCAGCAGCAGCAGCAGTGTGCTGCTGCAGCAGCAGACATGAACCGCTGCGTCACCCTCACCAGCCTCGGCCTCGAGGGGGGCCCCCGCTCCTTGGGGGGCCCCTCCTCTTTGGGGGCCCTTTCCTCAAGGGCCCTCACCCTGGGGGGCCCCTCTTCTTCTCGTGTAGAAGAAGACCTCTTGGGGGCCCCCCTGGGGGGTTCAGCAGAAGATGTGGGGCCCCGGCTCGAGACCCCTGCAGCAGCAGCAGCAGCAGCAGCAGGGAGGCCAGCTGCAGCAGCAGCAGAAAGAAGCACAGCACGCAGCGGAGCTGATGCCATTATTGCTGCTTTTGCTGCTAATGGAGACCCCAGAGATGCTGAGGCTTTCATGCTGCACCCTGACAGCCAAGCAGCAGCAGCAGCAGCAGCAGCAAACGCAGCAGCAGCAGTCGCGGCCTCGGACCCCCCAGGCGGTGCCTCCGAGGAAGAAGCAGCAGCAGCAGCAGCAGCAGCAGCAGCAGATGAAACAGCAGCAAATAAAAAGGGAAAAAGAACTACTTTTTTTAATATAATTGACTCTGTTGCGCGCACTGTGGGCCTCAGCAGAATCTTGGGAAGAAGCAGCAGCAGCAGCAACAGCAGCAGCAGGTCCCTTGCAAACACTGCTGGCAGCACAGCTCTCACCGTCTGCATCACAGTAAGGCCTCCCCACAAGCAAGCATTCTTGCTGCTGCTGCTGCTGCAGTTGCTGCTGCTGTAGATCGTGCTGCTGCTGTTTACTTTGCTGCTGCAGCGGTGCGCTGCGAATGCTGATGCTGCTGCTGCTGCTGCTGCTGCTGCTAGCGTAAAGGCCGTTTGAGTGGCCGCAGCTCACTCCCTACGCTTCCCTTGCTGCTGCTGCTGCTGCTGCTGCTGGGCATTTCTACTATGAGGGTTTGAGGCATCTTATGCAGGGCTCAGGGTTTAGGGTTTAGGGTTTAGGGTTTAGGGTTTAGGGTTTGGCTGCAGCCGACGCGGATGGTGGTGGCGAACGTGGGCGACTCCCGCTGCGTCCTTTGCCGCGGCCAAGACATCATTGAACTTTCCCAAGACCACAAGCCCCAGCTAGCTGAAGAAAGAGTCCGTCTCCCAACAGCTAGCTGCTGCAGCTAGCTGCTGCAGCTAGCTGCTGCAGCTAGCGGCTGCAGCTAGCGGCTGCAGCTAGCGGCTGCAGCTAGCGGCTGCAGC